TTATCTCTATGGTATGGATGAAACTCTTTTTGCTTGGGTCACCTGTGACCACTACTTACTAAATTCAGTAAGCACATTTCATCCTTACCTTACTTGATGTATCTGTAGATACCTGGCATTTCTCGCACTTTCATCCTTCTTGAAATTTCTTTGGTTTTCATGACCCCAGCCTCTTCCTGACTTCTATCTCTTCTCTCTCTCCAGAATGCTTTGTTTGCAAATACAGAAACCCAACTAAAACCTGGCTTAAATGTCGGGTGACAGTTTCTTCAACAAGTCAATGACATGACAAAATGCGGAGAAAGGGATTTTTGCAATTAAATGAGACCAATGTGACATAAATATCAACTGCTATGTGTGGACTTTTGATCCTGTTGTGAACAAACCAGCTATTTAAGGTTTTTATTTGTTTGTTTGTTTGTTTGTTTGTTTATATATAACAATCAGGGACATTTGGATAAGAACTGGATATTAGATGACACAAAAAGTTACTAAAAATTTTGGTAGGGTGTGTTAAAAAGAAAAACCACAGGTCCAAAATGACATCACTTGTGCTAAAAGCCCTTGATTCCAAACCTAGATTTGATATATAACCTAACAGCAGTTTCAGCCTCTCCCAGGAGTGGAATTTTAAATTAAATCAGTCTAGAATTTCCTGATTCACAGTAATGTAGCATTTGCCTCATAAGACTCCCTGCCTTCCCCTAAGGGAAGATGCTCCTGCCTAAAATAATTCACTTTTTTTTTTTTTAACTTCTTAGTCCCACTCTCTTTCTGCCCATAAATCCTTCCACTTTGTACAGCCCCTCAGAGCTCCCTTCTAATTACTACCTGATTCATGAATCACTTAATAAAACCAAATAGACCACCATATTTACTCGATTGAATTTTTTTTTCATAGGTGTCACATCAGTGTGATATATTAGAAAATGTCCGTATTTAGCAAGAATACATACCGAAATATTCAGAGTGAAGTGGCATGTGTTTTGATTTGCTTTAAAATATTTCATCAAAAAAAAAAAAAAAAGGAAAACAGAAGAATTGTCAAGGATCTTGACAATTGTTGAAGCTGGACTTTTGGTATGTAAAGGTTCATTATACTTTCTACTTTTTAAATGCTTAAGATTTTTAATATAAAAGATTAAAATAAGGAGAAGTTTTACTTCATACATATGTTTTAATTTCTTTGTGGCTTTAAATGGTATTTGCTTCCCATAAGGCCATTTCTTCCAATAGCCAGGGCACCATACATCCCAGTTTGCTGGGACAGCCGCAGTTACGTCTGTTGTCCTAAGATAATTATTTGTAGCACTATCTTTCATTCGAATGTGACCTAGTTTTGGATGATAAATTAGTCACCTTAGCTCATGGCTGTCAAATGATTGCCAACCACACCCTTCACGCTTCTCAATTCACGTCCAGCTGAAGAGAGA